TATTTTCACATCTCAGTTGAAATCCCTCCTCCTCCAGACGTCCCAAGAGAGGTCTCTGTCCTCATCCTTCTCTTCAGTCCTGTATGCACCTGCCTTCCAGGGAGGCCTCACATTTATGAAACAAAGAAACAGCTGTCACTTTAATCCAATCACTTGACAGTCACTTACGAGTAAATACTCTGGAATTATATTTCCCGCCACCTTTTTCCCTGTAAAAACTCTGCAAGCATCTTTATGTTCAAAGTGTTTTGACTTCAGTATTGATTTCATGGACATAGCTCAGCTGCTAATCACCAGGGTCACCCCTTTTTGAGGACCTCATGACCAGGGTCACCAACAGAAAATGACCATCCTGCACTGAGGACTTCAGTTGTTCCTTTGGTCTAATGAGTGAGGGTCTCTTAGTTTCCCCTCTTCTTTCCTGCGCATCTTTACTCTTCTAGAATGGGTCTCTTGGAGGCTGCCAGTCTCAAGGGATGCACAGGGATGCCAAGGTCAGCCTAGAATGTACCGGTAGGAAGATGCTCTTTGTTTCCAGGGAGATTAAAAGTAACCCATAGTTGTTTGTGGTCCCTGGTTATCTTTACGACCCTTTGGCCATGCTGGAATGATTTCCTACACTCAAAAGTCCTTTCCAGAACCGTTTCCTCAGTTAATGGCTGAATATGTCCTTTGCCAGGAGGACTGCAGCATTGGGAAACACACTCCCTTGATCTTCTGTCAATACACCATTCCTTTAATGTGTGCCTGAACTCATTCCTGCCCCTTTGCTCTTCGCTGACTCCACCGCTGAGTCCTTGGTGTGTGGCCCTAATGTCTGTTTCAGCTCTGACCTTTGTTCTAATATTGGTACCCTCTTGCTTCTAGATTTTCCACCATCCTTTTTCTGACATTTCCTGATAAACACACACATGTTTGTTTCTTCCCTTAAAAAAGAACAGCCCTAACCAGATTTGGTGGCACATACCTGTCATCCAGCACTTAGGTGGAAACAAGAGGTTTGGAAGTTCAAGGACAGCCTCAGCTACATGGCAAGTTCTGGGCTATCCTGACCTATATGAGACCGTGTCTTTGAAAAACAAAGAAGGAGTACAGGCCTTCCTCAACCTTCAGACACCCCAGGTCACCACTGCACTCTCCTCACTTCTCTCCATGCAAGTCATACAGAGTGGACTTGACTCAGCAAATCATACAGAGTGGACTTGACTCAGCAGCCCTGCCTCCTTGTCGTTTATTTAGTGTATAGCTCACACCCACTAGACTTTCGATCCTTATTCTTCAATACTATATTTAAAAACCCAAGCCCTTGCCTTGAGACAAGACCTGCATTTTTCTAGAGGATTTTAATTGTAGTATACTTCTGGATCCAAGATGCCCCCTAAGCAGGCTCCTGACACTTTCAGGACCACACTTCATCTGGCTGCAGTACTGAATGTGGACCCAGTAAGGAGTCTGGACTTTAATTTGGTGTTTTCACTCTTCACTAGGTAACTCCCCTGGTCTAATGTGATCATGATCTCTGTCCATTCACTGTGGCTACTGCTGAAGTTTAAGTCACCAGTTCATTCGTCTTCACATGATCCTCCATTCACATACTACTGTAACATATTTCATTTCTTACCCTCCACTGGAACAAGACTTTCTCTGTGGCGCCAGCTCCCAAATAATGACATGGAGACGTCTTATTAATTATGAAAGCTTGGCTTATAGCTTAGGCTTGTTCCTAACTAGCCATTATGTAAATTAACACACTTTTTAAAAATCTACGTTCTGTCGAGTACCTCATCTCTCTGTCCTGCTCATGCTGCCTCTTCTGAGTCTGGTTGTCAACTTCACCTTCTTCTTTCCAGAGTTCTCTCTCTGCCCTGAAATCCTACTTATACCTCCTGCAGAGCTATTGGCTGTTCAGCTTTTTATTATACCAGTCACAGCCATACTTTCACATAGTGTGCAAATATCTCATATCCTGCCTCACCCCGGTGCCTGCTCTCCTTCTTTCTGTACTTCTAACGGATACTTGGCTATTTCCTCTAGACTGTTTCCTTTACACTTCTTTCCTAAACAAGATCTATTTTTCCCATGACTCAAAGCCTAGGAATATAATAGTTATACAACTCAACCCTACTTGCTGCTTTCAAGTAGATGCTTCTCTATAAACAAACAAACAAGCAAACCATTGCCACTACTACTAACAATAACAAAAATATAGCTCCAGGGGCTGAGGAGACAACTAAGACAGCAAAGGGCTTTGTCTTACAAGTGTAAAAAAACTAGGTTCAATTTCCAGGACCAGTTAAAAACAAAAACAAACAAACAAACAAACAGGTGTAGTATCACATACTTTTCAGCCCAGTGCTGGTAGGTAGAAATAGTTGCATCCCTAGGTTTGGCCAGCTGACTTACTTACCTAGACTAATTTACTTGGTGGCCTCCAAGGCCAGTGAGAAGTCATGCTTCAAAATATAAAGTAGATGGTAGTCCTGTGACACTTGAAGTGCCATGGGGTTGTCTTCTTGATGTCCGCATACAGTTGATTATACACACACATGCATGCATACCTGTATACACATACACATTCACGAATGCTTGCATACAACACACACACACCTCCCATACCTCCTTAAAAGAATTTATCATCAAGTTCTTTGTTTATCATAGTTGTTTGTTATATTTCTATACTTATTACTTTTCCATCTTATAACTCTCACTCAAGATTTTAACACCTGGGTCAATATCTTCATCTGCCCATTTCTGTCCACACCTGAGAACTTCAGCATAGCACTGTTAACTAAATTCCCACTGATACCCCTTTAGTTTCCATTGGTGTACCTTGGGCAACCTGTCCTGAGTTGGTTGGTCAGCTACAGCTGCAGAAAGGTTTCTATGCCTAGAGGCCCTCCCAGGGAAGTTGCTACGCTCTGCATTCCACAATTATCAGTAAAGCACATCCAGAGCCTGCCAGCTAACTTCTAATTGGTTCCTTGCCACATGGAGGGTATCTGATTTCCTACGGATTGGGGCAATGTCCTGGGGTGGGGGAGGTCAGCACTTGTTGCTGAGTCACAGACCTATGTCTTGCTAGGTCTTTTCTGCAGACTGTCATGGAAGCCAAAGCAGAGGGCTGTCTGGGTGAGGGGCTGGGTCCTTCAGGTATTTCATGGAACATCAACATCAAAACTTGAACTCATGATCTTCTTACCAACTTTAGTATGTTCCTGTTATGAAAATTTTTGTTATATAGAATCAATGCTGATCCAGTCATACAGGCAAGAATTTGGGGAATTACTCCAGATTCCCCTGTATCTTTTGGTGGTCACATTCCATCAGTAATAGCTTCCTAACCTATACCTGTTGTCCATGAGCTCAGAGCTTCTTTGTCCCAGCCTCTGCAGAGAGTAAAACCAGTAATACTAGGGAAAGAATCCCTGGGTTTAAATCACAGATTCCAATTTACATCAGGTCATTGTTGGTAAGTTTCTTAAGTTTTTTATGCCTTGTTTTTCTCATTCTCAAATGATCATATAATATTGCTTACTTCATATAGTTACTAGGACAATCAATTAAGTTATGCTTGCTGGTTAGTTTTTGTCAACTAATGTGGAAGCATTTTTCTCGAATGACGGTGTGATGTAAGAGGGTCCAGCCCACTGTGGGTGGTGCCATCTCTGGGCAGTTAAATCAAAACAGTAGCTGAGTAAGCCCCATGAACAAGCCGGCATTCTGCTTTGGTTCCTGCCTCTGCTTCCCTTGATGATGGACTAGAAACTGTAACTGAAATAAACTGTTTCCTAGTCCAGGTTTATTTTAGTCAATGGTTTATCACAGCAACAGAAAAGTAACCAGGGCAGTACGTGCAACCCTGAGAACACTGTAAATACTTCACAGCTTTCAGTGGTATGGATGACATAAATAAGGGTGCCAGGAGGGACAAACATCTGTAGGAAAGAAATCTAAAGGATATTTATTTCTTTGTTTTGTTTTGACACAGAGTCTCTCTGTTATATAACTTTGGCTATCCTAGAACTCACTGTGTAGACCGGGCTGGCCATGGCTCACAGAGATCCACCTGGCTGTGCCTCCCGGGTGCTGGGATTGAAGTGTGCGTCACCATTCGTGGCTCGGATGTCTGCTTCTTAACTAGACCCTCAACCAGTCCTTTATTCAGCTGCATGCCACACCCTGACCTTCAGAGATAACCAGTGCTTCTGATGACTAGAGTTTATAGGTTCTTGGAAGCAAATTAGCTTTCCTCTTGTAGCTGATTAACTTTTTGTGTTGTACACCTCCACTATCCAATTGGTAGGTGGTTAGTGGGTCACTGACTAGTGCTACACAATCTGAAGTAATATTTTGGATATATCTGTTTGAATAAAACTGACTTAAATTAATTTCACGTATTTATTTTAACCCATTTAATATGGATATTAGAAATTATGACTTGGGTTTCTACTGGATGGTGTTGCTGTGTGCCTTACACAGTTTTGACCCTTCTCATCTGCTATCCTTTTTTTTAGCATTCTCTTTAGTCTTGTAGGTTTATACCCTTTTTTTTTCATTTTGGGAGGTGCCTAGGGGAAAGCAAAGATAAATTCATTTGTTATGCCCTTCATGTTTAACTGGGAGTACTCCCTATACCTTTTCAGGACCTAGTTCTGAGATCTACAGTCTCACCACTTTATGACTGGTCACCAACTGCAGGAAGAGATGTGCATGAATGGAGGTTGGGAAAGTGAATTATTCCTGTAAATGAGGCAAGGAGTTAGAGGTGAGTGATGAACAGGTATAGAGAGGAACGCAAAACCACCAGGTTTAGGCACTGGGATGTTCGTGCCTGGGTGACAGCTGGACGCGGGGCGCGCTGGAAGGCAGAAGCTTGCGGTTGACAAACACCGCACCAACCTAGGTCACTCAGCGTAGCTGAGGGCACAAGCGCCTTGTCCCTCGCACGCCGCCGTCTGCGCAGCCGGCGGGTCCCTTGTGAGCCCGCTTGCTTGCTGCGGTTCCGGTTCCGGTTTCAACTCCTGGGCTCCGCAGTACGCAGCCATGGCGTACTCCACCGTGCAGAGAGTGGCGCTAGCCTCGGGGCTCGTCCTAGCCGTTTCGCTGCTGCTGCCCAAGGCCTTTTTGTCCCGCGGGAAGCGGCCGGAGCCGCCTCCGGGCCCCGAAGGTGAGCGCCGGCGATGCTCGAGAGCGGTCTTAACCTCCCAGGCCCACACCACTCCCCTCAATGGCTTGCATGTCATCTTGTCACCTGTGCCTGAACTTAGCCAGTAGGTTGGTTTCCCCTTTTCTACCATGAGTCTGCAGGAACCTTAGTTGGTAGTGGCATTTCAGATTCGTTTTGAGTGCCCAGATTCAGCCTTTTGTTGCCTTGATCTGACACACCTGTAATGAATGATACTATTCTAGAGTCAGGAGGATCACTGTTAAGTTCAAGGCCAGCCTGGCCTGTGTAATGAATTCCAGGTCAGCCAGGACTACATAGTACGACCCCCCTCTCAAAGCAACAAAAGCATCAAATTTTTGCTTAGTAATGTAAACCATTTTTTGGTTGTTGCTGTTCCTGAGCAAGTTTAACTATAATCCTCATACCTGTTAATTCTTGGTTTTTGGCATGAATGTGACTACTGTCTTCTGGCAGTTTTACAGAATCTGTCAATGCATGGTCCTGAATGCTGGGAGAAGGGACTGGAACAATTTGCTATTGTTCTAAGGTTCTGCTGGTAACTTTGTTTTGTGAATAATCTCTGTAACATCCCTGAGCCATGTGAACATTTCCTCTGATTTCAGCCTGTTGGTTGCTGGACAGCTCCCTGTGACCCGTAATCCTCTTTGAATTTGTGCATGGTGGCTGTCCTTCCATCCTTCGGAGCATTAGAGATTAAAAATACTACAAATGCAAAGCATCATGCTCAAGGGGCTGAAGGCAGGTTGAGCACATTATTCTGCCTGTAGAATAGAATGTGTTTGGTGAGCTGTGCTTGCAAAGCTGCCATTCCCCCACCCCTTCCTGTTACCATAAAAAGTTTTGCTCATCTTTTTTCTGTCCGTGTTTTTTTTTTGTCTTGAAGAGTGATGATTATCAAGATCATCTTCAAAATCTGTGATGATCCCGAACAGTGAAGAGTTGTGAAGCCCTCTTTCCCCTGGTTGAAGTAGCTTAAAGAAGTACTGTTGAGTGTGAATAGAAGACACTTCTGTTTCTCAGTGTTGTAGAGGGTATAGAGTTCATTGTAGATATGACTTCCTTCCCTTGAGAACCCAGATACTGATGGTCATTGTTCCTGTCTTGATGTTTTTGCTCTTCCTGTTTTCTTCATTCCTGGAATGCTCATCTCCTGCTTCTTTCTCATTAGTTTAAGTTTCTGCTCAGATGTACCCTCTTTAGACTTTTCCTGATGAACCTAGTTAAAGTAAAGTTTCCTTTACTTTAAAGGTAGTCTTGACTATTAGTTATGGTACATCCTGACATATGTCATACACACAGTGTGCAGACACTGAATTCCAAGGAACAGGAGTTAAATTCCTGCCTCAGGGAACTCCCGGTTTAGTATGTCTAGTAGAGGAAGAACATGAGCACCAAAGTATCAGTTGCTGGTATTCATCTGGTCTACACTGGGAACAGTGGAGATGTGCATCTACAACCATCTGTTGTTAGAATTTAAGTAAGGTTTTATGGAGTTTTTTCTTTCTTCCCCACCCAAAGGCTAATACATGTACCATGCAATTTGTCTATTTAAGCACTTGAGTCAGTTTTTTTGATTGTTTACAGTTGTGTAGCCATCACCCCAATAAGTTTTATAACATTTCATCACACACCCCTCAAGGTAATCTGTACGTTTTAGCTGTCATCACCTTCCTCATTTCCCCATCTGTAGTCAAGGGCAGCCAGTCATCTTTTTCTGCCTCTGTAGAATTACCTATGCTCTCCCTAATTGGCTTTTGTTTTGTTTTGTTTTTGAGATAGGGTTTCTCTGTGTAGTTTTGGCTATCCTGGAACTTTCACTATAGACCAGGCTGGCCTCAAACTCATAGAGATACACCTGCCTCTGCCTCCAAGTGCTGGGATTAAGGGTGTGTGCCACCATGCCCAGACAGTGCTATACTTCTTAATAAGGCTGCTTGGTGTAAGACATCATTTATACAAGGTGTCCTACCCCAGCGTTCCTATCTTCTGATCTCCTGGAACTCTCCCTTAAGACCTTGTCATTGAAGAATGACTTGCAGGTTGAGGTCATTAACCATCCAGTGGAAGGGAATTTCAGGTAGAGGAAACAGAGGGTCTTGAAAAAGGCATGCGTTTTGAAATCTGAGACCAAAGATGTGGAATTTTTTTCTGCTATAGTTGAGGAGTCTGAATTTTATACTAGCCATCATAAGTTACAAGAGAAGAAAAGCATTCAGTTTTAGAATGGGAGTGGTTTGGAAGCTATATGGAGAATGTTCTTCAGTGAGAAGGTTGTTGTCATACCCAGGTGTGATACCATGGCCATCACTAAGTCAGTGTCCTTGAGTTCATCAGTTAGCATGCTTTTAAATGAGAGAAGATGTAGCCTGAGTTGTCTGACAGGAAGGAATTTATTGTATTGTGTAAATGAAAAACTGAAAGAGCTGACTTTGACGGTGGGTTGAGCCATAGCTTGTCTCATCAGAGCTAACCTTTATACCGCGTCCTCTTCACCTCTGGGGTCCTTCTCACAGTGACTCACCCATCTCTATCTGCTATGACAGGATAGGAACAATGGCTGCAGATGTTCAAGGCATTGCATGCTCATGTCCTACTGTCCATAAAAACAGGGTCTCTTCTCTCTACTCACATCTAACCCCTAGTCCATTTCACCTTAATGTCTTGAAATAAGTTACTTGTGATGCTATGAGGAAAAAGGATGTGCTGGAAAAAAATGGCATCAGGGTAAGGAAGGCTGTCACCATTGTGAGGGGAGAGAAAAGCAATTACAAGGGATGTTTTCATATAGAAGTGACAGGAGACAGAGAGGGAAACGTGAACTGTTCCAGTCTTAGGTGACTGGGCAGGTAGTATCCTTTACCTCAATGGGAATGGAAAGAAGAAAGACTACGAGACTTTATTACTCCTATCTCCGGAGTTTTATTTCTTCCAGTTCCCTCATCCACTCCTCATGTAATGTAGTTGGAAATGGCTGAACACAGGCTAAATTAGAAGGGTTCCTAGAATTGCAGAAAGCAGCAGGTATAAAGCAATCTTCTTCTGAGACACTCATCTCCCTTCATATTCCTTTTTAAAGACTGTGAACTGAGTTTGCTGTGAGTTTTTGGCAGTCTCTCTGCTGACTTTGCTGTAGTGAATTAAAACTCCAGGCTGTTTCACTTCCTTTAACGGTCATCTAGGTTTGTCCATTTTGTACTGTTCACTTGGCATTTTGGAACCAAATATGGGAGTTGTGGTTTTCTCTGTTGCCTTTTCCCTGAGCACTTAAATTTGTTGAATTTGTCCCGAGCACTTCAACTTCTTGGAATTCTTTAAAGGGAATTCATTGTTGAATTCATGTCTTTATCATTTATCACCCTGTATTGATTTAAAAAATTGTTAAAATGTTTCAAGCACAAGCAAAGATAGAATATGCAGTGTCTACACCCCTCTCCCCCTCTCCTACCGCCCCCACCCCCACTTTAGCCTCAGCTGTGATCAGTGTGCCTTTGTGCTGAAGCCTGTAGATTATTTTTAAAATGTGTTACTTATTAGCAATTACTTTTAAGATCACAGAAACATTTTTGGGTGATGGCCTTATGCATTTATTAGTCTTGGCATTGCTGTGGTCCATTCTTCTTTGCCTGCTTGCTCCCTCTCCCTTCAGTCTGTTCTCTATGCAGAAACCTTAATAATCTGGTTCAAGCCTGTCTTAGTTAGAGTTTCTATGCTGGGAAGAGACACTATGATCATGGCAACTCTTTTAAAGGAAAACATTTAATTGGGGTGGCTCACTTATATTTTTAGTGGTTAAGTCTACTATCATCATGGTGGAGAGCATGGCTGTGTGCAGGCAGACATGGTGCTGGAGAAGTAGCTGAGAGTCTTGAAGGTGATGGGAAGTTGACGAAATACTGGAAGGTATCGGGAGCATAGCAAACCTCACAGCCCACCCCCACAGTGACACACTTCCTTTAACAAGACCATACCTACTCCAACAAAGCCATAACTCTTAATAGTGCCACTCCCTATGAGCTTATGGGGGTCAGTTTCATCCAAACTACCACATTCCATTCTCTAGCCCCCATAGGCTTTTAACAGTATCACAATGCATAAAGCATTTAGTCCAGTTCCAAAACTCTCCATAGTCTATCACAGTCCCAACAATGTTTCAAAGTCCAAAGCTCTAAGTCTCTTCTGAGATTCATGCAACCTCTTAACTGTAATCCCTTATACAATCAAAATCAAAAAAGCAGACCACATACTTCCAACATAAAATGGCACAGGGGTACATTACCATTCCAAAATGGAGGAAAGAGATCATGGTGAGAAAATATTGGACCAGAGCAAGACTGAAAAACAGCTGGGCAAACTCCAAACTCTGAATCTCATGTTTGATGTTAAAATGCTCCTCAGATCTCCCAACTCCTTTCAGCTTTGTTTTGTGGGTTTTTTTGTCTTTTTGAGACAGGGTTTCTCTGTATTGTTTTGGAGGCTGTCCTGGAACTCGCTCTGTAGACCAGGTTGGCCTTGAACTCACAGAGATCCACCTGCCTCTGCCTCCTGAGTGCTGGGATTAAAGGCGTGCACCACCAATGCCAGCTTCCTTTCAGCTTTGTTGACTACAACACACTTCTTTCTCTTGGGCTGGTTCCACTCCCTGTTAGCAGCTCTCCTCATCAGCTACCCCATGACTTTGGCATCTCTAACATCTTGGGGTCTCCAAGGCAATCTAGGCTTCAACTTAACAGCTTCACAAAATGGCCTCTCTAGGTGTCCATTCAGGGACACCCCTGACACCTGCCTGGTCTCAGCATCTTTCCTTAAGCTGGTTCTTCTGTTCTTAACTTTAAAGCCAGAACTATGTGGCTGAAGCTGCCTACTTCTGCTTCTTGCTGGGGCTGGAACATATTCCCCTCATTCAATTACGTCTCCACTAGCTTTGTCTTTCACTCCTAAACTTGAACTTGCTCTGTAGACCAAGCTGGCTTCAAACTCAA